TTGACGGTGGAGAGCAGTGGCCAGATGAAAACACCCTCGAGCACAACGGTCTTTTTTTCAAGAAGCTCAGGCTAAAACTATTCTCGGTCAATCTTAAAATTGGTTTTCCCATCTGAAGATGCGTCCGGTTTTGCCTTTGGAAAGAGATGCCATGAATTTCAATCAGTTTAACATAATCAAAGTAAAGCAACGAATCTGTTTTGGATTTGAAATATCGGAGGGTTCAGAACCCGCTTGTAGATACGAGATCGACTTTAAAAGTAATGCATTCAAACGAAAGAAGGCGGGATTGGGAACGCAATTGGAGGTGTATCCTTTGTGGTTGGCTCAAGGACGGTGCTATCTGCTTCGGTTAATCAGATTACAAATGGAGCAGCATTAGAGCTTTTGGTTTCCCACTACACAACTGGAATATTGGCAGAGCCGGCGATGGTTGGACTATTCTCTATGGCTATCATCCAATTGCTATGGACTTACACTAAACCATCGAGTTGTATAGCACAGCACGAGCCAATAACAAAGACAGTTAAATGGTGAACAGCGAGAAATATTCTGAACGCTATCAAAAAGGGATAACTTCGATTTGATCCCCTTCTGATTTGTTTTGTGATGTCCGTCACTATTCTATGTAGAATGACAATACCAAGCACGTATCTCGTTTCGGTGGAGGGTAAATCAGGCGGATGTGAAAGATTTTGCGAGGTAAGCTGTAACTAATCCGTGCTGAGAAACGAGGTTTAAAAAGTTGATGTTCAGGGATAATCAAATCGGCACTGGCGTGACGCAGTATGAGCAATCAGAAGAATAAACTCTTGTGTAGTCTAAGGACGGCTGAACAGAAAAAATAGGAATTTCGGTGCTGGTGGCATATTAACTTACCCTGCCTCCATGTTTACCCATCCCAACGAGACTGCACCTTGACGTGGTGTGATGGCTTGCGCTCCGCAATGACCCTGCGAGCTATACAGGATGGCTGTTCAGAGCAGCAGATTCAGTCAGGCCTGAAAAGTCAATGGGCAGAGGCCAGAAGAAGCTCAGTCTCACAAGGTCAGCTGATTGGGCACCTCCTGGCCTCCTTGGTCTACCCACGCTTGTCCCTAAAGAGGTCACAGAAGCAGTTTACCGGTCGAATAACCTTCCAGATGGACGTAGGAGCAGGGTACCTGGAGCTTCTTCTCGACGGTGGGAGAAGTCTTTGCATTTCATAGGACAGCTACCGCCCGCCCAAGGTGGGCAGCCCCCGGCCAATAAGGTTCTGTCCCATCCACGTTCCACTTGTTTCATTGACTGCATGAGGCTAAGGGCCAATCCCGAACAGCGGACCGACAATCAACGCACCAGCGAACAATACATTGAACCGGTTAGGGTTCCTCAAGAAAAACCCACAAATTCTCGGTGCTTTGCAGGTCAGACGTTTTTTTAGTCAAGGGCTCCGGTTAGAGTGCCTAAGAAACCCTTTCGCCTAAAATCTTAGGCATCTGTTTGGGAAAACGTCATTCCAATCTGTCTAGTTCGTCCTCTTAATCCTGAATAATCTTAGATGCCACCCATCGGAAATCATGCAGCGTTTTACCAGTAAAGCCAAACAATTAGAAGTTATAGGATTTTTGAAACCAAAATTCTCTTTTTACTTGGTCGCGTTCAACGACCGCGTACTCTATCAGATCGGTCAACAGGCTGCCTTAGATGGAACCCTCGAAATATTGAATTTATATGTACGCTTTGTCTCCGAAACAGGCATAGAAGATCCCATCTCAGTCATCTCCCTCCGTTCTGCTGATCCAACCCCATCCTCACGCTTCATTATTCGTATGTCCAGCGATTCAGTGTTGCTAGTGTTGGGATTACGCTAAGTGTCAAAGCTGAGCACTATCTTCTTGACTGCATTTCAGCCAGCAGCCGACTGTGCGCTATACGTCTCAACTGTTCAATACGAATCAAAAACTACAGAACGAAACGTCGAGGCTTACTCGTCGTATCCGTGTATGCACCGACGATTGCAGAACACCTGATACCAAAGATGAATTCTACAAGGATCTTTCTCAAATACTCCGAAGTGGTCCATCAACGAACTTCGTAGTAGTCGCCGGAGATTTCAATGATCAAGTGGGATCACTGGACGAATCAAAACGGATTCTCGGCGGACAACATACAATCCCAGCCAAACGGACAGCGCCTATTTCAGCTCTGCGCGGATCACGGATTGTTCCTGTTAAGCACCAACTTCTCGCACATGAAACGACACCACCTTAAATGGAAACCACCATCTTCACAGCGATGGATTCAAATCGACCACATCGCCATCAGTTAACGCTGCAGTGGGTCAATTCAAGGTTGCCACTGTCACTGGTCAACAGCTGTGGATACGGACCACACTTAGTCCACTGAAATTCTACATTTTCTTTTCGACTCTAGTTTCTACTTTCCTGTCTTTCTCCTACTGCTCATCCATATGGGTAGTCAAAAGATTGTAAACCAAAACCGGCGCACGAAGGTGCATGGTTATCGGTTATACAAATCGAAACTTCTTTGCTTATACAAATTGCTGATTTGAAAGAGGAGATTGTAACCGAAATCACTTTATGGTCTAAGTGGCTTTGTTTTCTTTCGTCCATCGCGAAGCGTGCTTCAGGTGCTGCAAACCGAAACTTCATTTATGCTCAAATATGTTACTAAGCTCAACTTTGATCTATCTCCTTGCCTAGATGAACGCGCGATGTAGGCAAAATAGGTTTACGTGAAATTATGCACAGCAGAAACTGTGGTCCGACAGAGAAGACAAAGGAGCTACAATCGTATCACGTGCCAACCAGCTCAGTAAACAAGAAACTGTCACGAGCACGACATCAGCCAGAACCATTCGGAGAGTGCCAATCGCACATTACAACTTCCCATAATGCTGCATGATATCCAAACAATCACAAAGAAAATTTCGATCGAAATGATTTGGAACTTTATACACAGTTCGGACAAACGGGTAGTGTAAGCAAAGAGTGGCATAGAAACACCAGCATAGACATGACGAGTGGGTAGTGTGTGTGCTGGTAATATTTATGAATCCGATACACGGTATTCTACAATTGGATATTTGGGCCCGTGTGACAGTGACACTATCTGCGTATTGACCTGACACGTATAACCCAAGGACGAATAACAAAATAAGGGTGAATACAGAGAATGAGACCAACGCAGACCGAGGGTAATTCCAAGCACTAAACAGGTGGTTTCCGAGCGCGTTTCGACGATCCAAAACCCGGGGACACCGAAGAAAAACGATCAAGTACTATGAGGGTCAAACAAAGTGCATGAACGGGAACTAAGATAGGGCTATACAGCAGTAAATTGGAGAGCACTGTTTTCACGCAAAACGAATTAGTTGGAAACTAATGCTGATTTGTGGTTATATATATATATATATATATATATATATATGAGTAAAAGTGTCACGGATCTTTAAGGTTTGAGAGAAAGATCAGGTAGGAGTGCTCAATAAAGGCGCTTGTGAACACCGGATAGAAAGTGATCAGGAACGACGAACGAACGGAGTGGGAAGGAAGACCTGAAAAAGCAGACCAGTTGGGTACTGTGCTCTATGTACGCAAAGTCACAATGATAGTCCAGAGCTGATAAAATTCGTGAACGTAACCAAATGGGAAACAGCCGACAGGTTTTCACACAGCCCGGGAAGAAACGGGAGGGTGTGAGAACAGAGCGATTGCAAATAGCACATGTGACACTGTGTTTAATCTGTGTGTATGGGGAGTATTGGTACAGTCTGAGTACGTGTGCCAGTCAATCAGAGGAGCACAGAGGATATGATAGACGAAGAATATTTAATGACATGCTTAGATAACGAGGCGCGAAGCATTAGCAAAAGAGGTGGCGCTCGTAAGGCCATGTGTTTGGATGGAGTAGTAGATTCCAAGTGATGCTAAAAATCCTAAATGCGAGAAATTATTGAACTGATTGCTGAACTGTGATTTGATCACTAGTGTTGTGCGAAGCCGATCCTGGTCTGGAAGCTAAAGATGAACCAGCCGGAGGTGTGATGGCCACCTGCTGTCGTGGTGGCAAAGGTGGAGGAGCTTCACGACCACATCCGTTACCGTCTGGACCGAATAAGAATGTCTGTCCGTTCGACGGAGTTTGCAGCATATGTTGATGGTGATGATAATGAGGTGAGGATGATGCACTTGCACTGTTAGTACGCATTGTACCCCGTGGACAATTAGAACCTCCCTTTGGGGGGAGTGGTGGCGGTGTAGGTGAAGCGGCCTGTGGCAGATAGATTGGATTGTCAACTACGACATCCGGCGGAAGCCAGGGCGGAGTTGAGGCTGAGGTCACAGTTTCATGCTGACAGAGATTGTGATGATGCGGAGAAGAGACACGCGGACTAGACACTACGGATGGAGCCACCAGGAGAGGAAGAGGACTGGGACTTTTGTGAAATTTAGTACTCGATCCACTTGAAGTTTGACCGGATCTGCGCGGTGGAAGAGGAGGCGGAAGTGGATCATGCGGTGCGCTGGTATGCAGACCGGAGATGTGAGGAGATGTAGGAGGCGAGGAACGACTCATGAAGCAATGAGATTCTGATCCTGTTATGGCGCTCGGACCGGTACTCACACTGGAGGTTCCAATTGAATGCATTGTTTGATGACGAGGTGACATGCGTCGGCTAATGGTGAATACCTGGCTGTCAGACATGCTGTGTTGATGAGTTCCTAAAAGCAAAGAGAAAGCACATACGCCGAGTTGATAACAGGCGCAAATTTGACAAGAATTTGTTAAAATTAGAATACATAATAAGAACACAAATTGACAAACAAGCCCGTTTTCAGTATGTCTTAATCATGCTATCAGAACACCAAGCACACTGTAAGCGTGACCGAAGCGTTTGGACAGAGTTAAAACGAGACGATCTAGACGGTTTTGTATTCTAGCCACAGCCAAGGTAGTTAGTATCTATCTTCACAATCCCCCCCTCTGTGTGCTCAAACGCAATTTGTTTGAGTGCTGAAGCTTTCATGGCCGGACTGCCGACAACTGACCCATCATAAAACATCAGNNNNCATCAGAGGAAATGATATTTGGAGACCAATTATGACACACTGAAACCGAGCTTGTTTGCCAATTTGTGTTCTCTTTATGTGATCAATGGGGCTGTTTAAAAATTTGGCTGGCGCTAACCTCAAATATGAAAAGTACAGTTGCATAATAACACAATAGTCATATTATTAATTATCGTCTTGACGACTAACGTCCTATTCGATTCAATTCAGATTTTACAGCTGCTTCCAGCACATACGCTCTGCATTAAAACAAGACGAGCAACTACAATCGGGATGACTGCAGTAAGAACTATTCCTATGANTATGAAAATAAAAAGTAAGGAACACTCAGGATAGTCGCACTTCAACCTACGTCATATCATGACCTGGAAACTGTGACTGAAGACAACAAATGCGCCGGAAAGGGTGTCGAGTGACAGACATCCGGCCGAGTTTGGGGATGGGATTATATAACCATGTGGTAACTTCAAAGTAACCAGTAAGTGGAAGAGATATTTACAACTCAAGTCGGTGAGCGTAAAATTAAGCTCCTAACGTCCTGGAAAACTGACACAAACTGGTACGGATCCTTTTAGAAATCCGAAAGCAACCCGACGCAAAAGACCAGTACGCTTAATTGAAAAACGATGAACATACCTGACGATGCAGTTACGGTGGCTGCTAATACGGAGGCAGCGATCGTCGTTGAGGCAACACCATCAGCCGGACCACCAACAAGTCCAGATACCAACGCAGTGGATGGAATTAAGAGATATTTGTGCTGTTGTACTTTTCCAGCAGCATCTCTATCTTGTGATCGAGATGTCTTTGAATGTGGTGGTGGTGGACTAACGCTTTGAGGGCTTTTTAGTCCCTTGCGCGAGGACCGAGAACCCCCAGCACCAGATGCACTGGATGGCGAGAACAAACGCGAGGAATATGAGCCGGAATAGCCGGATGAAAGTATAGCGGAAAAGGTGAACACTGAATGTAAAGACATGCGTTCCTTGAGTGGGACTGAGCTGAGCAAATTTGCTGCTTGAATTTCCTCCTTCGACATGCGACGATCCTGAAAATTATGAAATAAAGCAACTGAAGATCGATGGTAGATGCAAAAAACCATTTGATTGTAGATTTACGGTTCTGTTTAGTATCAGACAACTGCTTCTTGAATACTTACTTTAAACATTGTTAGTATAGAAGAATATATTCTGGCTAGCTATCACACTGACCAAGGTACAAAAGATAAACGGTATCTGATATCAGGCAGTGGTCATTTCAACTAATGCAGTAGCTCAGCTAAGTTTATCACTAATTAGTGAGTGTATCAAATGAGAAGCTCAAGAAGCTCAAGTCACAATGGGTGAAACCACGTCACGAACATATTGCGTAATCCACGCCATGCGTTTGACAAACTATGACCATTTTCAAAAGGAACCAGACCACATATATACAAGAACGGGTCAAATATCCCCGAATAAATGAGACAATCCATCAGAAATGATAGCTTGCAAAACAACATAACATAGTGGAATAACGTGAACATCTGGAGGACAGAATCAGAACGGAGCAACGGTTACTCACTATTCTATTCACGGAACCAAGACGACAAACACAATTCGGTCCTGGAATAACAATCTTTTACAGTAGGATGAAATATCTATTTGAAATTAGTTTTGTGAATAATGATCGATTTGACAGGTATACACGCATTCGCATAGATGGATGAATTATGTCCCGTTCATGCTTTCAGATAGAATTCTTAAGTATTACGTATTTTCCGAGGCAAACAGTGACTATAGAGGAGAGTAAATGTTACCGGATCGCCCGGGCTCAGTACACATTCGATAGCTTCGTGAATTCGTTATGGACTAAAATCCTGCTGGACACTCCAGACCAAGCAAAACACAGTATTGAATGTCCTTAGAAAGTTCCCACAAATTAGAACCTACATCGAGCAAAATAACGATCGGAAAATAGCTAAAGGCGATCAGTTCATGAAACGATAGAAGTATTATTTTCTGACCCGGACAAGTTTGCACTGACGAACTTACACCAACATGTTGAGCAATAGCAGAATGGTAAGATCAGGAGTCGAAGATCCTGGGTGACAAGTAGGTATGATGAGTGAGGACATCCTTTACATGAATTTCTCTCAGCACCGGAGTTATACCCTTTGTTAGGACAGTTAAGTATATTTTTACAACTCAGAAGGAGCTCTATATAGAAGACGGTAACTAAAACCACGCTGAACAAGCGTAGCAGTAGTCACTTGGCCGGTTTTTGCCATAAACACAATCACCATCTGCCTTGACACACTGCGTTCGCGTCGGAATTTCCGAGGCGGCGCCCCACCAACTGGCGTCCATTGAGCCGATTGTCGCTTGCTTTCCGAGTCGAAACTGTACACCCAGGTCTCATCATCACTGATGATCTCCAAAACTGCATTCGAATGTCCACCATTAAACCTGGCAAGCATGATGCGGTACCAATTTACACGCAAACCTTTATGAGATCGATCTTCTCATGTAGGCTGGGGGGGGGGATTGATCCCGATGGCTTTCGCTAGCTGTACCACTGTCACCCATACACCCCCCTCAACCATCACTTGGACAGCAGCAATGATGTCCGCTGTGGTGGCCTTCATAAGTCGACCACAACGTAGCTCATCATTCAAGGACCGCCTGTCTGCTTGAATTCCGTAAACCACTCAAACACAGTGCTTCTTGAAGGCGCGTCATCAGCAAAGGCAGCTGGCAAATGATCAACCCCCTGCTGCTGCTGCTTTAAACCACATAGAAAATCATCGTTCTCTAGTGACATCGTCTGAGTTTCATCCTTAGAATAGCAACCCTCGGGTTGTGAGCTGTGCTGTGCTGTTAATATTTGGTTCTGAGTTGTAATCATTGAACAATATTCAGTACGTACGTTCAGTTCGTACGTGTACTGCGTATTCGGAAACATTTTTCTCAGCCTTCTTAAACACAAATGTACCTACAAGCAGATAAAAACAGGACGAAGAGTTACCAGAAACGGGGGTGTAAAATAAATCACATTGTGTCGCACAGGTCCCGTCATTTCGATTGTGAGCATCCTGCTCTAATTATCCAAAGAATCTCTCTCCTTAGATCTGAGTAAATGTCACTAATCTGCCATTTTGATCACTCTCAACAACTAAGGAATTACGAACCGAGTGTCTTTTCTCTTCAATACGTGTAATCATTCAGCGACAAAAATGGAATGAAAATTTCGCTATTGGTTTATCTGTCAGACATGAAGAAAAGATACCTCATGAATAACAAATTGAATTTTTTTTCTTAGACCATTCACAAATAACAATCATCATTTGGGTTTACAATCAGATGATAACCGTACGTCCCATCATGTAAAGGCGCTCACCAGTTCGGCGGAAGAGACAACAGAAGCGACGTTCTCACCACCCGAATCACTCTCGCGGGGTTCGTAGGTTTCGGATAGCTCATACATACGGCGCTCGAAATCTGAGTCGGATGAAACTCCATACACAGAGAATGGATCTAGCTGTTCGAGCATCTCCTGGTCCAGATGAACCGCGTGGGTAGTCAGGTAGAAAGAAGTACAAAGTAATAAGTAAGGATAATAACAATAATAACAATAAATTATTATATAAATAATACCGATAGCCTA